CCATTAATGCTTGAGGTACGGGATCTGAACTTTCTTCTAGTTCGAAAGATATTGCCCTCCTTAAAGTCTTTATAGTCTCTGACAAACTTGATGTGTTTTTTCTCCTTAACATGTTTTTTAAAAGAGTCTAAATTTTTCTGAAGTTTATTTTCCATCAGTGGAAATTCGGCTTTGTCCTTAAAAGTTTTTATCGTCACTAGTTCTTTCTCCAAATTCAAATTAGTATTTTCTAAACTTTGAGATTCAAGTTTAATTAGGAACTTCATTAATTTCTCAGAACATTCTAAGAGAATGCCATTCCATTCTTGTTTTTGTTCCTCAGTGGTTATCTTATCTGGTAAAGGGATTTCTGGTCTAAGTCCCCGTGGCACAAGTTTCTGATCAATGTATTGTTTCAAACTCACTAACTCCCAATATCCCTTGATCTGTAGCTGATACAGTTTCTGAATTTGAAAAAATGTATCACTAATGTCATTATTTGATGTAGAGTTAAGGGGATTTAGTGAGAAAACATTATTAATATCGGTAGTTCCTGGATCAGGGTTTACTACTGTTGTTAGAAACAGTGACATAATGTTAAATGTTTTGGCTCTATTAGGTATTGAAACCTGGTAAAAAGTGTGGAAAACAGCGAATAGATTGAGCCAAGTTAGATACACAAAGAAAGTGGGGGGTAACCCCAAATAAAGAATAAAGAGAACAAAGTAAAGTGTATCTAATTCATGATGCAAAATATAAGCATCAACAAAATTCAAGATAGCCAACAATTAGCCTAATATAAAGGCCAGATAAAGCCACTAAAAACAAAAATAATGAAAGTTTATTAATAGAAACAATTAAATAACCCAAATACGTGCTACCATATAAACACCAAAAATCTAAAATAATTGCTAGACAGATCTATCAAGAAAAATGTAGATCGTCTAGAACAAATAAAATAAAATTATATATAATCGCAGATCAAAGAATGACAACAATTACTGTCAGTTATGGCTGGTAATATGCCAGACTAGAGAGGCAAAATGCCAATCCGAAGAAACGGTAAGTATATTGGAACTAGCACTTTAAACCTCCATAATAGAATGATGGACCATATATATGTCTTGTCCAAAGTATAAATCAGTATGGAGGGTAGTTAGTTGCCCATGGTGATAAAAAATATATTTGCTGAGCCAGGACATCTGTCTAATGATAAGTAAATCGATTATAAAGTCTGTCACTTTAAAAATCAAAACCGTGATCATGGACTGTATATGTCTTCTAAATAGCTAAAAGTTATTGGTGAATATCAAATCACCATAGATCACAGCAAACTTGGAAAAAGATTAGATCAGTATAAAACTGATAAACTAGCAGGTCTTAGAGTAGAAAAACGATAATCTACACGGAGAAATTATGCTAGTGAGCTAAATAGACAGAGTGTGTATATAGATAAACCACAGCATGTATACACTGAGCCGACAGTAAAGCAGTCATAGAGATGCCTGGGAGGAACAGGATAGGGGAGAGATACACATATAAATAGGGTTACAATAGAAAGAGTTACAAAATCTGTTTGATAGCACACAATGTGTATAAAAAGCTGTTAACGATGTGAGAGAGAAAAGCGTCTGAATGATACCCTCTATAAATATGTGACCCGTGCCTTCGAGGGCACCTAGCTCCAACCCCCCAGAGATCCAATAGATAAATAAATCATGAAAGTAAGAACTGCAAAAATAAAATATGATAAATGAATATATACGAGATAAGCAGCGCGGTCGCCAGTCTGTGTTCTGCACTAAAGATCCAACATGTGCAGCACACCACAATCCTCTGACGCGCGCGTTTCGCTACACCTAGCTCGTCAGAGAGGAAACGAGAGGTGTGTTAGCACCGGGTTTAAAAAACCAGAGAAATCACCTGATTGGTCCGGACGGGCAATTCCTAATTGGTTGGAGAAGATGACGTAACGGAGGACATTATCGGAGGTAAAATAGTCTTAGCTACTCCAATAATTAACCCATTAAGGGTCAGGTTAAAGTGTACAAACCTAGGCAAGATAAAATGCCTGTTAGATCCCTACATAAAAAATACATATTCATGTTGAGAACACGTTTGTAAATGCCATATGACCTTGGGAAATATTCAAAGTAATCCTGAAGGATCAAGGAGGATCGGAATGAGAATAGAACGCCCAAAAGTTAAATCTGATAATTATCAAATATAATATACTAACAAATTATGATAAAAAACAAAAATAATAATAATAAACATCATACCAAGTGATGGTCAAATGATGTAAGTACAATTATTCTGTCTGATGCCATAAGGTATAGTACATAATAGGAGAAGTTAAATTAAATATAAAATATGGTGGCTCCTATTAATTGTATATATACCTAAGAAGGAAAGGGAGAACATGTTCAGAAGTTTCTACAATGAATCTTCAAATAGAGACTTGACTAAATAAATGAATCACCTATATAATAGACATGGAATAGATGATGATTGGAAATTGTATATCTAGGTAGAACATAGTGGATAATTAGTTTACATAACTGTCACCAGGAACCCATTCCAAAAAGTCCCATAAGGCATAGGTCACTCATAATGGCTATGGAAATTATCTTGATAAATAGACAAGATGTTCCAATTAATATTAAATTCTTAATGTATGAAGGGAGTAAAATTGAATTCCTCATTGAGACCATCTGGTGATAATGTCTTTAGGATATATATCCATCTAGACTCCTTCATAAGTAATATTTTATTAAAATTGCCCTTCCTCGTATTCAGAGTAATTTTTTCCAAAGCCTGAAAGGTTAGTTTCGTGGGATCTGCCTCATGATAATTACGAACATGATTGGCTATTGGAGTTGAAATGTTCAAATTGGTAATTGAGCATACATGCTGAAGTATCCTCCGTTTGAATTGCTGGTAGGTCTTACCTACATATTGTATACCACAGCAACAGGTAATTAAATATATTACCCGTGTTGAACTGCAATTGATAAATTCTTTGACCGTATATTCATTATTGGTCTTAGAGCTTTTGACAGTTTTAGTTGGTTTAATAAACTGACAAGCTTTGCAGTGCCCACAACGAAATACTCCAATGGTTTGTTTTAGCCAAGTAGATTGTAGTGACTTTACGGGTTCGGTATGACTGTGAACAAGAATATCTTTCAAATTTCTTGCTCTACGAGCAGTCAACTGGGGAAATTTCTCAATGCTATCACTTAAATCAATGTCATGTTGCAGAATGGGCCAGTTGCGAGAAATAATTTCTCGTATCTTATCCCAATGGGGGTCATATGTGCCAATACACCGAGTTGTTTTTGTTTCGGTCCTGGATCTAGTATTTCTCAAGCTGTCACTCCGATTGATAGACAGGGCTCGTTGATAGGCTCGTTTAAGAACCCTATTGGGATACCCCTTCTGTTTGAACATTAGTCTCAACTTCTTTGCTTCTAATTGAAAGGTTAATTCGTTAGAACAGTTTCGTCTTGCGCGTAAATATTGGCCATATGGTATCCCAGATTTTAATTTAATTGGATGGAAACTAGTCCAGTTTAATAAGCTATTGGTTGCTGTATCTTTTCTAAAAAGTATGGTTTCAATTTTACCATCCTCCTGTAACTGAATATCTAGATCCAGAAAGACCAGATGTTCAGAATCTATCACATAAGTGAGTTGAAGGCCGATGTTGTTGGTGTTCAGTAAATTCACTAGATCTTGGAATTGTTTGATTGACCCCAACCAAAAGACCAGTATGTCATCAATATATCTATGCCAACTATAGATATATGTGTCATACTGGTTCTTGGTGATGACAGATACAATGGTCTCTTCCCACCAACCTAAATATAGGTTGGCATAGCTAGGGGCACAAGCCGTGCCCATAGCTGTACCCTTCAACTGTAGGTAGTATTGGCCATTAAATACAAAAAAATTATGAGTTAAAATGTATTCTAGTAATTTAATAATAAAATTACTCTGTGCAGGTGTAAAATCTGATGATTTGTTCAAAAAATAGGAGGTGGCTTGTATACCTATAGTATGGGGAATGTTATTGTAAAGGGCTACAACATCCAGACTGCCCAATAGGCAGTATGGAGGTACCTCTAAATTTTCCAATAATATCAAAGTCTGTTTAGTATCCTGAAGGTATGACTTCAAATTAACCACTAATGGGTGTAATAGTTTTTCAAGAAATTTACTACCTCCTTCTGTAATCGAGCAGTTGCCTGACACAATTGGTCTTCCCGGTGGTTTGTCTAGATTTTTATGAATTTTGGGAAGACAATAAAAAGTGGCAATGGTTGGAGTCATATTAGGGAGAATGTATTTACGTTCGTCACTACTGATAACACCTTCAGTTTCTGCAGTTTCTAAAATGGATCTCAGTTCAGTTAGATATTCGATGGTTGGATCAGTTGACAAGCAACGATATATATCAGTGTTTTCAAGATGTTCCATGCACATCTCAATATAATTATTTTTGTCCATCAGTACGATGTTGCCACCTTTATCTGATGACTTAATAACCAAGTTAGATTCTCGACTTAGTTCTGTTAGAGCCCTTCTTTCTATCAGAGTTAGATTATCTTTATACGAGGTAGGGGGATCTAAAGACTCAATTTCCTTAGTAGTCATTTTAATGAAAAGGTCTACACTGGAGATTTCCTTCAAATTGGGTGTGAACCAACTTTCTGGTTTAAAGTTAGTAAGAGGCTGAACTACATCTTGTTCATCCAATAGAGAAAGTAATGTCTGATATTGTTGGTAATCTATATAGGAGAAACCAGCCTCTTTGGCTTGCTTTTGAGTTTTTCTCTTGTGTGCCACATTCAAGGCTAGTTTACGGCCGAATAAATTGGTATCTTTAATCCAATCAAACTTATTAAATTTCGGTGTAGGTACAAAGGACAGACCTTTTTTTAGCAAAGATAGATGATGTATTTCTAGTGTGAATGTTGACAGATTCACTATTTGATTCTGATCATTACTTATTAGGTCTAGTTTGTCCGTTTGTCCGGTTTGTAGCCCCATTTGTTTCGGTCTCGTAATCTGCCCCCTATTGGAACTGGCCAATCCTCCTCTAAAAAAGGAGATGAAAAAGGGGGTCTTGTGGTGTTCTCTATTGGGTTATTTGACCCCTGATTATCAGTCACTGGATTCTCAGAGAAATTGACATTTCTATTAGGTTGCTTTAAGATGCCTCTACCTCTATTCTTGTTTGGATATTCTCTATTACGTTGTTTTCTAGATGACCTGGATGAACCTGAGTCAGAATCAGTCCAGTCGGTATTACCTGATGTTGAACCATTAATGCTTGAGGTACGGGATCTGAACTTTCTTCTAGTTCGAAAGATATTGCCCTCCTTAAAGTCTTTATAGTCTCTGACAAACTTGATGTGTTTTTTCTCCTTAACATGTTTTTTAAAAGAGTCTAAATTTTTCTGAAGTTTATTTTCCATCAGTGGAAATTCGGCTTTGTCCTTAAAAGTTTTTACCGTCACTAGTTCTTTCTCCAAATTCAAATTAGTATTTTCTAAACTTTGAGATTCAAGTTTAATTAGGAACTTCATTAATTTCTCAGAACATTCTAAGAGAATGCCATTCCATTCTTGTTTTTGTTCCTCAGTGGTTATCTTATCTGGTAAAGGGATTTCTGGTCTAAGTCCCCGTGGCACAAGTTTCTGATCAATGTATTGTTTCAAACTCACTAACTCCCAATATCCCTTGATCTGTAGCTGATACAGTTTCTGAATTTGAAAAAATGTATCACTAATGTCATTATTTGATGTAGAGTTAAGGGGATTTAGTGAGAAAACATTATTAATATCGGTAGTTCCTGGATCAGGGTTTACTACTGTTGTTAGAAACAGTGACATAATGTTAAATGTTTTGGCTCTATTAGGTATTGAAACCTGGTAAAAAGTGTGGAAAACAGCGAATAGATTGAGCCAAGTTAGATACACAAAGAAAGTGGGGGGTAACCCCAAATAAAGAATAAAGAGAACAAAGTAAAGTGTATCTAATTCATGATGCAAAATATAAGCATCAACAAAATTCAAGATAGCCAACAATTAGCCTAATATAAAGGCCAGATAAAGCCACTAAAAACAAAAATAATGAAAGTTTATTAATAGAAACAATTAAATAACCCAAATACGTGCTACCATATAAACCCGTAAAGTCACTACAATCTACTTGGCTAAAACAAACCATTGGAGTATTTCGTTGTGGGCACTGCAAAGCTTGTCAGTTTATTAAACCAACTAAAACTGTCAAAAGCTCTAAGACCAATAATGAATATACGGTCAAAGAATTTATCAATTGCAGTTCAACACGGGTAATATATTTAATTACCTGTTGCTGTGGTATACAATATGTAGGTAAGACCTACCAGCAATTCAAACGGAGGATACTTCAGCATGTATGCTCAATTACCAATTTGAACATTTCAACTCCAATAGCCAATCATGTTCGTAATTATCATGAGGCAGATCCCACGAAACTAACCTTTCAGGCTTTGGAAAAAATTACTCTGAATACGAGGAAGGGCAATTTTAATAAAATATTACTTATGAAGGAGTCTAGATGGATATATATCCTAAAGACATTATCACCAGATGGTCTCAATGAGGAATTCAATTTTACTCCCTTCATACATTAAGAATTTAATATTAATTGGAACATCTTGTCTATTTATCAAGATAATTTCCATAGCCATTATGAGTGACCTATGCCTTATGGGACTTTTTGGAATGGGTTCCTGGTGACAGTTATGTAAACTAATTATCCACTATGTTCTACCTAGATATACAATTTCCAATCATCATCTATTCCATGTCTATTATATAGGTGATTCATTTATTTAGTCAAGTCTCTATTTGAAGATTCATTGTAGAAACTTCTGAACATGTTCTCCCTTTCCTTCTTAGGTATATATACAATTAATAGGAGCCACCATATTTTATATTTAATTTAACTTCTCCTATTATGTACTATACCTTATGGCATCAGACAGAATAATTGTACTTACATCATTTGACCATCACTTGGTATGATGTTTATTATTATTATTTTTGTTTTTTATCATAATTTGTTAGTATATTATATTTGATAATTATCAGATTTAACTTTTGGGCGTTCTATTCTCATTCCGATCCTCCTTGATCCTTCAGGATTACTTTGAATATTTCCCAAGGTCATATGGCATTTACAAACGTGTTCTCAACATGAATATGTATTTTTTATGTAGGGATCTAACAGGCATTTTATCTTGCCTAGGTTTGTACACTTTAACCTGACCCTTAATGGGTTAATTATTGGAGTAGCTAAGACTATTTTACCTCCGATAATGTCCTCCGTTACGTCATCTTCTCCAACCAATTAGGAATTGCCCGTCCGGACCAATCAGGTGATTTCTCTGGTTTTTTAAACCCGGTGCTAACACACCTCTCGTTTCCTCTCTGACGAGCTAGGTGTAGCGAAACGCGCGCGTCAGAGGATTGTGGTGTGCTGCACATGTTGGATCTTTAGTGCAGAACACAGACTGGCGACCGCGCTGCTTATCTCGTATATATTCATTTATCATACTTTATTTTTGCAGTTCTTACTTTCATGATTTATTTATCTATTGGATCTCTGGGGGGTTGGAGCTAGGTGCCCTCGAAGGCACGGGTCACATATTTATAGAGGGTATCATTCAGACGCTTTTCTCTCTCACATCGTTAACAGCTTTTTATACACATTGTGTGCTATCAAACAGATTTTGTAACTCTTTCTATTGTAACCCTATTTATATGTGTATCTCTCCCCTATCCTGTTCCTCCCAGGCATCTCTATGACTGCTTTACTGTCGGCTCAGTGTATACATGCTGTGGTTTATCTATATACACACTCTGTCTATTTAGCTCACTAGCATAATTTCTCCGTGTAGATTATCGTTTTTCTACTCTAAGACCTGCTAGTTTATCAGTTTTATACTGATCTAATCTTTTTCCAAGTTTGCTGTGATCTATGGTGATTTGATATTCACCAATAACTTTTAGCTATTTAGAAGACATATACAGTCCATGATCACGGTTTTGATTTTTAAAGTGACAGACTTTATAATCGATTTACTTATCATTAGACAGATGTCCTGGCTCAGCAAATATATTTTTTATCACCATGGGCAACTAACTACCCTCCATACTGATTTATACTTTGGACAAGACATATATATGGTCCATCATTCTATTATGGAGGTTTAAAGTGCTAGTTCCAATATACTTACCGTTTCTTCGGATTGGCATTTTGCCTCTCTAGTCTGGCATATTACCAGCCATAACTGACAGTAATTGTTGTCATTCTTTGATCTGCGATTATATATAATTTTATTTTATTTGTTCTAGACGATCTACATTTTTCTTGATAGATCTGTCTAGCAATTATTTTAGATTTTTGGTGTTTATATGGTAGCACGTATTTGGGTTATTTAATTGTTTCTATTAATAAACTTTCATTATTTTTGTTTTTAGTGGCTTTATCTGGCCTTTATATTAGGCTAATTGTTGGCTATCTTGAATTTTGTTGATGCTTATATTTTGCATCATGAATTAGATACACTTTACTTTGTTCTCTTTATTCTTTATTTGGGGTTACCCCCCACTTTCTTTGTGTATCTAACTTGGCTCAATCTATTCGCTGTTTTCCATAGATATAGTAGTATCTATGTATCAAAGATAAGATACAATGCAGGGGATCCCGCTAATTAGAGCTGAATGCTCCCGTTTGATATAATAGTGTTGTAGAATTATTAGGCCTCTATAAATCTGTAAGGCCCCTTTAAATCCTCTTGCTATACCTCTAAGAGGCCCCATAGTTTTACAAGAAAGCTTTGTCTATAGAACATAGAATTTGCATGTCAGCAAGAAATAGCTTTGATAAAATGTGTATTTACTAAAAGCCTTGAAACCTAACCTTGAGAAACTAACAGTGCCAGGCTACACTCTAAATGGATAGCTGCCAAAAGGCCCCTCCCGTCGAGTGAGCTCCTCATGTTAGCAAAATGGCGCTAAAACCTGGAGGAGATAATCATGACGAGGATAGTGACCTAAGATGGTACACCCCATAGGGAGGGCATTTTACTAACTACTTAGCACCTAAGCCAATTAACAATGTCTATTTGTCTATATCTTGATTTTCTTCAATGATGTAATAATGCCTTTAAAAGGGCCTGCGAGCCTGCTTTTTATTCAGAAGCCATTAAACTTCTCCGAAGTTCTTTCATTAACCTGAACTCTGTGTCTCAGTGTGAATTTACTTCTGCGTGCACGCAACTTTATTATCTTTAATTTGGATAGGAACAGATAGTCATTCAAACTAATTGGTTTGCAGTAAATTATCTACAACAATAGTATCTATATGTTCAGGAAAAAGATACACTGCAAAGAATCAATGCAGTTCAGCTACAGGGGATTCTCCTGCAATCCACTATAAACTCAATCTGTAGTAAAAATAGCGAATGAACCTGTGCAGTAATAATATCTCCAAAAGTTCTTGTACAAGAACATGGACAAATATTGCTAAGTATAAGTCACATCAGCATGCTAAATTGGT